AATTAATTGTATTTTAGTCATTGAATTAATAAATATTAAATATTTTTCATTAGGTTAACAAGCCAATGTCTTACTCAATAGCATTTTCATTGTGGCTATTGAACTTTTTAGCACTGACATTAAGAGCATGTTGCATGATATTATATCCTGCCTAAAATATATAAATAAATAGATGTAATAAATTATTAGGTCACAAATGTACATAGTCATTTCATTATAAATTACAAATTTTAAATTTATAATTTGTAAGTTGAATAGCTTATTTTAAATAATCAAATCAATATCAACAGTTACAAATTTTAAATCATTAAAACATTATTTATAAATTATTTTAAGCAGTAAGCCAGTAAATAATTAGTTTATCAAATGTAGAAAAAACAAAATAAGTTTACAAATAGTTAAAACCAGTATTGTTCAAGAATAGTTAAAACTACAAATGTAGATAAAAAATTTTTTCATTATTTTGTATTTAACTAACCTAACTTAGATTACGAAATGTTTATTAAATAATTTAAAAAAAAAAAAATGCATAAATAAAATCAATGTAGGTATGGCCATTGAACATTTTTCACTTTAATGATCAAGAAAAATTATTTAATAATCTTTTAACCGACCTTTATTCTTCGTAAAAGAAGAGACAAAGTGTAAGAACAGTCTTCTAGCATATTCAACCACTCATTAGTAGTCAAACAATGCAAATAACTTTCTAAATTTGACGACTGATTGATCTGATGATCAACATCACTATTTGCAACTGTATCAATAACACTTTTTTTAATTGCAGCACTTATTGCTGTTTCACATTCTTTGCTATATGCTTCTAAAAATGCCCAATTTTTACGACGTAACATCCCCATTAGTATTGAAAATAATTTGTCCTTATGAAAAAATGTTTAATGATTAAATTAATTCTTGTACTGTTTAAGATATGAAAAACTTACTTTTTCCAAAACCTCTGTATCAGTACCTACTAATGGGCGATTGAGGTCTGCTGATGAACATCTTTCAAATTCACCAGCCATTAAGGCATCTATCATTTTAATAATTTCATTTAATTCTGATGTCAAATGCCTAAAATAATAATTGAAATATTGAAAATTATTAATATTATTTTAATGTTACTTTGAAAAACAATGTTATAACATGCAATAATAATCATTATACCTGAAGCAATGGACTCCAGAAAGTTCCTTAGATAATAAATCCTTAGTGGTATAAATTAAGTCTAAAGCAGCAACATAATCAGCAGCTGATAGTAGTACTTGAATAGTTGTTTGTGTGTGGTAAACTGTAGCCATTAATTTCAACTGTTAACAATAAAAACAAGGTTAGATGCAAGCAGTAATATTTAAAATTAATAATAAATATCTTTTCATAAGGTGCATATTAATATATTATTCACATTACAAGGTTATTATTATTATTATTATTATTATGTTATTCATACCTTTTCAATAATATTGGTATGATTTGAAATGGTAGTTCTAGTTTTTAAAATTGACAATGGTTTTGACACAAATTTTTCATTCACTTGTCTGATTCTACAACTAAATAAATAAAATGTTAGTTAAAATTAATTCTTGTAAGTTATAACAGTTTTATTTAACCATCAAATACTTTAAATACAAATCAAAAACAATGTGTTGAAGATCTATTACTTCAAATGAAATATATTTTTAAGAATACTAAGTTATTAAGTTACTATGACTCAAACATATTTATATTTAAACATTGAAAAAAAAATATATTAAAATTTCAAATATTAAATTATATCATACAGATGATTCTTTCAGTATGCTCGCCTCTATTTTTTCCTTCAATAGTACATTTATACAATTATACAAATTCAGATTTTTAAAATTTTTATGTATACCTAAATACCATATTTTCAAATGTCTGTCTTTTTTGTGAAAAATTTTATTTTTTAAATAAGAATCATCCTCCCTTTTTACTGCAAATTATTTAGCAAATGATTTTCTTAAATATTTTAATTTATTCAAGCCAAAATTCTGATACACAGTTTTTAAGTTATTACAATTAAACTAACTATATTAATACTTAAAAATGATTTTATATAAATAAAAACTATAAGCAATATCAGATCTAATATTTATTGTACATGCATCATTCTTAAGAATTATTTATATTGATAAATCAAGTTATTCCTAATTTTTTCAAATTGTCCAAGCCCCCTACCTACTTAACCCATTACCATAGATAAATTATGCTAAGCACAGTTATCCAAATAACTCAAAAAATATTCGATTAATTTTTTATTCAGATACATTAAAATTCTCAGCAAAAAAATTATATGAGCAATTAAAAATGAAAAAATGTGATTCTGATTTAAAAATAAGAAGCTTGTATTGTCGCGGGACCATCTTTAATTGATCAAAAAAATATCAAGCATTCAAAAATATGGTCTTTAGGCGAAATTAAAAATTCTGTAATTATAATTTGACTTAATGTATTATTTAAGCATAAAAATAGGGTGAACATGCTTAAAAAATCTCCTATGTATATACCTACCGTAGGTTTTGAGCCAATTGTATTGATAAATGAATTTGTTCCATAAGAGTATCATGTGATGTCATTGTATGAAAAAATGCTTCCGATTTTGAACTAACCTGTTGTGCAATCTTTACCTCTACAGTATCCAAATAATGACTCAACTAAATGAAATCAATATGAAAAACATAAAATTCAATCTACATACCACATTAAAAACATTCACAAATTACCTTTTTTTCATGGATAGATTTATCAGATATTCTAATATTAGCAGTAACATCATTTACATGGGTATCTGATGTGATGAATATATTGGGAAATACAGTAAATAATGTTTCACGTTTACTGAGATCAAAATGAGGTTCCAAAAATATAGGCGGAACTTCAGATAAATCATAGTTTACCCTGTCTGAAAATAATATAACATTAAGCATACATTTAATGTTTCTCAGTTTAGATAATATAACTGAGAATAAGCTTAGAAACTAGATTACATAGCTCACATAATAAAATATGGTAATAGGAAAAAAAGCCAAAGTAAAAAAAAAACAATTTTTTTTCTGTGTATTTAATTACACACAATGATATTTGGTAACACAGTTTATAACTATTTATATTGAAGTTAATAATTTTGATTGCAAAATACTCAAACACTGAATAATGTAGATAAATAAGTATGACTGTAAATATTTTATGCAACATTATTTATATTTTAACCTTATAAAAGTTCTAAGGGATTTTCTCCAAAAAAAAGATACTATCTAACAAATGTCTTATGTTGAATTTGAATAATATGGTATTTTGTTGATAAAAAATATAGCTTTAATTATAACTTTTGGGTTAAACATTTTTTTTTTGATATAATATCATATCTAATTAAAATATTATAAAATTATTTATACAACTAACAAACTTAATAAAATTAATTTTTATGAATTATTTTAGTTTAGTTTCCATTAGATTTTCTTGCCTAGAGTTATTATAAACATTAATTTATGTTTTTAATCTAACCTGTTGATTTATTTAATCGGAAATTTGGAAATTGTTGAAGGATTTCTGAAGGATAATCCTGTTTATCTTTTTTCTGTTGAGGTTCCACAAGTTTTTTATGTCGCTAAAAATCAAGGTGAAAACATATATATATATATGTATTAGATTCAAAATACTTAAAAAATAAATTACTTACTTTTGGTATACGTTTAAGATAAGTTTGGAAGTATTGAGGCCTTATTACAGGTAAATGTTGAGGTGGCGGAATTGGACTTGTATCAGTGAATTTATCACCCCATATCTTAGTAAAGAAATCTTTCTAAAAGAAATTAAATGCAGGTATTCCAATTAAAATATATTATTTTTTGTATAACTATATATTATATAATTAAAATATAATTTAATTAAAAGTTTTTTTGTATATTTATGTTCATTAAATTAAAAACAAAAACTTACAGATCGAGGCCGCCTTGGATCATTCAAAACAGTAGCAAGACTTTGGGAAGCTGAGTAGAAATTCCATTCATTTGTCGGCCGTTTATTATCTGATGTTTTACGGTAAGGTTTAACACAATTTACCGATTGGAATGCATGGTTGTGTACAACATGTATTTTGTAGTCAGATTCATTAGACATTTTGCAGCAAATTTTAGTGCCACCATACTCACAAAAGTATTGACCATCTTTTCTTCTACTATGCACTTCATACAAGTGTCTATAAAAATTATTCTTAAATTTTTTAGATATTTTAATGTATTAATACAGCTTTATTTACAACTATGATTTAAAAAAAAAAAAACAAAAATTGAAAATGTAGTAATATATTCTTGTAAATTGTATAAATTGTATAATACATAATATGATCAATTTATACTACATAATAGCATATGTAGGTAAATTGTTAAATGTTAATATAAAATATATGTTTAGTATTAAATAAGATACTTAATATTAAATTTATTTAGATTCTTGTATAACAACTTGGGCTACCTATTTTTATTTTATCTATTTGGGTCAAAATTTACCCATTGAAATACTCATTTACTTATATACTCTTTTATATATATAAAATAATATACAATACAAGTTAAGAATAGCATGTATTTTATATTACATTATATTGTACATTTTTGTAGATTTTATTAAAAATTACACTTCTCAATAATTTTGTAAAGGTTATATTTATATGCCAATATCTATTAATTAATCAAAAATTTTAAAAAAGTTAAAAATTAGTAAAACATAATATTTATTCAAAGATGTGCGATAATATATTACCTATATATTAACCTTGAGTACAAAAAAGTATTTTCACTACTACCACAGATGATATAATTTGTGCATCTACGATTTAATGTGGTTCAAGACACCATGGAACAAATTACTGGCATTTGAACATACAAATGAGATATAAATCAATGCAATATTATGGAATAAACTTCACCATAGGTTGTGTATTTTTGGTCTAATATTGATGTGCTTACCGTTCAAATTGATGCAAATGTTCAAACGTGGCATTTTGGCAAAATTTGCACTTCTGCCAAATTGGTTCTCTAGTCACAGCCCTATCCATAATAACACCAATAACATATTTTATGATTTTAGATGGGAGTATAATGGTCTATTGACATTTAGTCAACAGGTGGATAGACAACTCGTCAATCTAAGACGTATTATGTGATTATTTCTGTACCATAAGAATTTGAAGACCTACTGGTAATGTATTTGTAGACCAATTTTCTAAGGAACAATACTCAACACTGTTAACAAGTTAACTCAAAAATATTAGTTGGAAACTTGGAAATATTGTCTAAATGTTATCAGTGACGTTGAATTCTGATAACAACAAAAATCGATATCAAATATTACCCATAGATAATAAAGATACAGATAGGCCACGTCTATGTTAAATATTATATTTGAGGCATAGAGTAATATATTATATATTATAATATTACTCTATGATTTGAGGCCGCATTCCTGGAGGAGAAGTTTAAGGAGAGGCAATTGAGGCTATATTATCACATTATCAAAAACAAATTACAAAACCGCCAAAATAATTAATGATTAAACATTTCAAATCTTAGTCCGTGTTTCAAATTCAAACTTTCAATATAATAATTAAAAATAATCATGATATTATAGTAAAATTATGAAATTATAGCCTAAAATGTGCTTGTTTAATAATTCGGCCATATTATAATGCCTCTTCATTTATTATTAGATAGAAATTAATTTTTTTAAATATAGGTAATATTAATCTTAATAATTGATTTACCAATTTTTTCTAAAACCATTGAGAAATAGCTCAGCATGGATCTATAAAAATTCAAACGATCAATAAAAATTAATTTTAATTTTCAGTAGGTATTCTTTTTTGTTTAAAGTAAATCGTACATGTAATCTGGTATTAAATTTCAAAAGTTTAAACATAAAAAGAAAATTTGTTTAAGAATATAACTTTTGAATCACATAATTTTTAATTTTAACTTGTATGGTTTATACACCTAATTATTGTGGTGATGCTTACATGACTCGCATGCATTTAAGGAAGAGGAGGTTTTATAAATAGTCTGAAAATAATGTCACCGTCTCGTCAATACTATTTTAGCCAAAATACATTTTACTATTTTAGTATATTAGCACACGTCTACTTAAATATGGTTCTACTGAAGTGCTAAAATACATGTCCAAAAAATGTGCTCTAAATAACTAAATAAATCTTTATTATTTTTAGTTATCTATCGGGATAGATAACAATACTTATCTATCTCGATGGATTTTGGACTTTGGGAGACATAGATAATAAATCTTTATTATCGATGTTTTGGGAGACACTTAATACATGTTATCAATAATTGCTATTTGTTAGTTTGATAGTCTTGCTTGTGTATCTGTTATCTGTATAAATGTATAATATTGAATTTATATTCTCTGATGTTGTGTAGACTGTTGTAACTTGTAGTTGTCTGTAACAATATTTTATTAATTAATAATAACGATTGACTATTAAGTGGATAATTCAACTCACTGTCCAAGGTCTTAATTTTTAGTATGTTTGCCTTGATGTTCGTTTTGGAATAATATTATTGCAATATTGTGAGAACTCAAGTGGTTTAACAACTTCTTATATTTTTTATCACAGTTCAAAGGAATATAGCTGACTGAGTGTAATATTAATCTGTCCACATTTAAATTTAAATATAATAACTTCAGCAAAACCAGACCATGTCTATAGAAAAGGAAGAATGTGAACTGGAACAACTGGTGTCTTCAGATGAAGAACCCAGACCAACTGATATAACACAAATTACAMCTCCTATCACACCCAAGCCTCCTCCAAGAGCTCATTCCCATTCAGATAGTCGAACTAAGACTAGCAATGTAAGTGAAATGTACTTTCAGCGCCATAATACTTCCAACCTTTATAAATATTGTTTGTTGATCAAAAAATTTAGTCACTTTCTATTGAAAGCCAAAAGAACGAATGTCACAAATCTACAGCCAGGTTGTCTAGTACCTCATCCATACACCAAGATAAACCACAGACCCAATCATCAAGTATGCTTGTAGTGATACTTAAATTTAAACTACACTAATTTTCAACTTATTTGTATTGTAGAAGACATAGGAGGTACTACTCGCCTGATGTGTGTTAATGAGAGATTAGGGCGCAGTTCTCTTCATGACTACAAACCACCACGACCGCCACCTCCAAATTTTAGTAAATTGCAAAATAAAAAAGGTTTGTTCATTATCATTTAAGTTATTATAACTGTTTATGTTTTTCATACTATGCTTACATAAGTAGGTATTTCAGTTATATTACTATTACATTATACTGATTATCATTTGTTTAATCCTGCATAAGTAGTTTTCCACATAATTTATATACTTCATAGATTATACCATTTTCGATTGTTTATAATGTCTACTAAACCTAATTTACTTTGAATTGAAATATTGAATTCTCCGGCTAATCTTAAAACATTTTAACATTATTATCTCATGAAGTTAATATATTTTAACCATCTCTTAAATGCATAAGTATGTAGAAGTAAAAGTTCCCAAATATAAGACTTATACTTATTTAAAATTTAAAGTTAACAACTACAAATTACAATATGTCTTTATATTTAAGTCCTTTATTGACAAAAAAAATTTTAAATTAACGTAACACATCAAATTCTATTTTAATCAAGCTAAATATTTTTGGAAAGAAGTTTATCGTTTATGCATATATAACATATCCAATCTTGTTGCTTTTAAATCATTAATAGTTAACAGTATATTATATTGAAGTAGTGAACTTTTTAAAAATTCACCTTTATAAATCAACATTATAATATTTATATTACACTTAGAATTTGGATGAATTGGTTTAACAAAAAGAAAAACTTCTAACCGATTATATTCATCAATCAAAGTACAATTTCTATGGCATTGAAAGTTTTTAAAGGCCATAATTTCTCTAAAGAATAATTGGCAACACAAAACAAATTTGTAATAAAAGTAGTTTAATACTTTTATTTTATTTGGCAACTTGAAATATAGTGTAGTCATTAATAAATTCTCATTGTCGTTTCCATTTTTGATATTTGGCTGATGTATCTCCATAATAATTTCTAAATTTATTCGCAAAATAAAATTTTTTTTTTAAATATTCTTGTAAACACTAATTATAAATAAATGTCAGTGGTCGATAGAAAGTATTATTTCAGGTATTTAATATATTTTTCTTTTATTTATATTTCTATTTTATTGCATGAAACAATTTTATGTAACAATTGTTGTTTTAAATATTATTTTTATGAAGTAAATTTCTAGTTACAATCTTAACATTTTAACTTAATAAATATAATGTCTTGATTTCAAGTGTATTATACTATCTATTATTAAGTATAATTTATAATTTAACAATGGCAAACTTACTATTTTCAAGATCTAAAACTTCTTCTCTTGTAGTACATCTAACTACCTAAATTAGTAAATAATTATCATATTCTCAATGGTTTTATTTTTTTGTTGAGTCATCATTTACATTTGTCAGACTAAAAAGGAATCATTTAACCGTTTAAAGAAACCTTTGTCTAAAAATAATATGAAGTATGTAGTTTARACATATTAAATGTTAATATATGGTGAAACCTGTCTATAAGGGAAACTCATGTGACTTTCAAAAGTGTCCATTATAAATAGGTATGCGCTAAGTATGCCAATCTTTTTGCTTAGACTTTATTATTTTGTCATTTATATACAATTGTCTATTAAGACAGGTTTCACTGTAAAACTACATCAATATATCAAAGACAACTATTTTTGATACATTTCTATTGTTCCATTGAACATTTGATAAAACATATTGTTTGTTAAAAATATTCCTTTAAATTGAAATATATAATTTTGTTTTAAGATTGAGAATTTTTTTTTCAATGTAATTATCAACTCAAATTTTTTATCAAATTAAAGCAAGTCCAATTGTTGTTTTTTTTAATCCACAATTTATTTTCATAAATGTAATAATAATGGTCTATGTTAATTTGTTGAATTTTGACTTATGATTAATTATGAGCTTATGGCTAAAATAATTAAATTAATTAAATTATTCATTTGTTATATTGTTTAGGGATTCTATAGTTTATATTTGTTTATAACTAAATTTACTATAATATTGTTCAGTATCTTTTTAAGTACTTTAGACCACAGAAAAGATGATTATTAAAAATTTAATTTTATGATAAGAAATGTCAATAATATATATACATATTAATAACATAAATTAGCTTATGTAGATAGGTTGCTTTATAACTTAGTATACACGCATTACAGTCAACACTTTTTTTTATTACTTCATCACATCTTGTAGTAGTTTTTTCTCATATACTAATATAGTAATATATAATAGTCAATAGATAACTTGAACATATATTATTCTAATGAAAATAATATAATTTTAGCGTTTACCTACCCATTTATATAAGTTATATATTTTATTATTTCAGCTTATTTTTTTTTTATTTTTTTTTTTATTTATACATATTTTGTGTATTGGTTGCTTTTGTTGTTGAATCCTGTCCCATATAAAACACATAGTACTATCTGAACAAACTATGGATAGAAGTTGCCTACATCATTGTTTTTTGTCAGATGTGACCGATGTCAGACAAATGGAGCAAGCCCTACAACAACTACTTGAAGATTTTCACTCTGGCAAATTACGTGCATTTGGTAAGCATTAAAGAAAGTCAAATTATCATAATAACATTAATACCTGCTGTTAGATTAGAATTAAAACAAGTTGATTGAAGATGTTTTTTACTAAATAAAGTCAAATAAATAATTTCACATACTTCAAAAATATTATAGATATATATTGTATTTATAATATCTAGTTACTAATATCACTTGTAGTATTCTCTATTAAAAAAATAAATACAATATACCTAATATTCTTAAAAAAGCTCTTAACAGTATTTTTCTAATTTTTAAAGACACAACTCTATTAAAAAAAAAAACATGCAAATAATAGTTATTATTGAACCATATTATCTATATCAATAGTAAACAATTACAATAATGATTTGTAAATTTATCCGATGAACATTAAAACAAGGATGTATAATTCACAATTTTATTGTATAATGATCAATGATAAGTATCTTTTAACTCATATAATACATTTTAACATTTAGGTAAGGATTGCAGTATGGAACAAATGACAGCTATACGTGAACAACAAGAACATTTAGCATGGTTACATTTTGAACTTGGTGTGAGACAGGATGGTTCGAATCCGCTCAGCGAACAAGGCATTACAAAAGGTACAGAAAACATGCACTCCCTCATGGCTAGCCTAGAACAGCTGTCTTTATCCATTGAAAAATTACATTCGTTTAGTAATTCAACGTCCGATTAAAATTTAACCCACAACATGTATAAACAATTGACTTTTATTGGTACTCGGGATCATTGACAATATAATTTAATGAATGGAATTGTACAAAAGAAAATAATATTGCTCATTTATTCATTCCATGAACAATTTTACCATTAATGTTGTTTTTCCTTGTTAAGTTATTAAATAAATATAGTGAATTTTTATTTGTGACTAAACTTATTTGAACAATGAATGCAGTGCCTCATATGGTGATAATAGTCTGGTAGATCCTATACTTACTCGAATACCACAGTTTTTAGTCGCTTCACAAATTGAATTCACTTCGTGTCCACTTATTCCACCAATGACAAACACAATCAGATGGTCACAATCTAGTGGATGCTTGTTTACAGTGTTAATGATTTTACTGAAAAAAAAAAAAATGTAAACCATTTTCTTGAGTAAATTGTTCATAGATTTTTAAGCTTATTTTATTATAAAACCAATGAAATATTATAATTTTATAATAACTGCATTAAATGAAATACAAACATTAGATTAACATTTTCAACAACTCTTACTTGAATCCAAGTTTTATATAGTCTGTTATTCCATCAGATTTGGTGTTTAAAACTGATAGATTAGGTCGCATTGGACTACACACATCATCCATAAGCTGTTTAACAAATGAACTGTATACTGCTGGCACATAAGGATTTTCTCTCAAAAAGAGTCTTCTGTTGAGAAAAAATATGTTTCCATAATTGATTTTTGTTTTAAAATTATAAATTAATATTTATTATTTAATATCAAAACATTTTATTTCAATTTCCTTTATAAGTTATTTGCATTTTGTAATTTTTCTATAGTTATTTTACATAACATTACATTACATAATATACAATAAAATAAATAAGATTGTTATTAAAGTGCTCATCTTAAGATAAAACTTTAAAATAAAATAAACAGTAATCAATTATTTGGTTTCACTTACCTAAACTACCTAATCATTTTGAACAATATTTTTTTTAGCAGTCAGAAAAAAGTTTTCACAATGCAAAAAAAAAATGCTTATATTTTAGTTATACTATATTAATTAAATAAATTTCAGTTATAACTGAAAAAGTGTAATTAGCATATCACTTAATCGGTATTTATAATTTATCGATAATATTAGTGGCAATAAAGTACTCATCAACTATTGATTTATTAACAGTATATTATTAATTACAAAAAACCTCAAGATACATTTCTAAAAAAGTAAAAATAATTCTTTTTGGGACTTTGGCCTTTAAGATTACAATTGTCTACGTGTTATTTTCAAATAAACCCTCTCAAATGGGTGACCGCCAAGGCTTTTAGTGACAAATGATCGCCACCCACTCCTACATACATCATACATGTGTTTTAAGCTAAACATACCCTTTTGCCTTAGGTACCAGTAAAAACTTATTAATACCCTCGGATGTTGAAACCTTAACTTAATAAAATATTAATTTATTAATGATTACACATTATAGTCTTCATTAGACAATGGACATAGTAAATCGCACGKTTTAGATCTCAAGAATTAAGTAACTCTCAAAATTTAAATTGTGGTAAATCGCTATATCATAAGAATGCTTTTATCAACAAGGCTTTAGATAACTATCATCGTTATTATCAGTAAACCGAATTTTCGTGTATGATTAGCAGCTGTTGTTCCAATATGAAGACTATAATCTTATCTTCATGGATCTGAATATAAAATTATAAACAACTTGCAAATCACGCAACAATTTTTGATAATAAGCATCAAGCTGAGTGCTGACAAGCTTTCAACATTCAAATTCAATAATAACTGAATTAAATTGGAATAATAAGTTAAATTAAAAGTATGAAATGAACTAAACATTAAATCTAATTTAAAATCTAATTCATAGTCGTCATCCATAAAAATTGATTACTCTTTGTGTGTTCACTAATCGAGTTAAGAGAAAAATGTTTCCGACGAGCACGCAAAAAGCAAATTGGATATTTAAAGACGAGATGGATTTAAATGCATTGCGAGAGAACGCCAACCAGAAGTTCGTCGCTAGATTCGGATCGCACATGAGTCCCGATGACCGAAACGTATTTTTTTTGGACGCCAATGAAGAGCATATAATACAGAAATGTCACGAGTACATATTAAGAGATTTCTGTCACAAGTTTCAACCAACCATGCCAAAGTACGTGTTCGCAACAGCTTTAAATTATCTGAAACGATTTTACTTGTACAATTCAGTCATGGATTACCATCCCAAAGAAATAATGGTCACATGTCTGTTTTTGGCATGCAAAGTTGATGAGTTCAATGTGTCGCTCGCACAGTTTGTTGCCAACATTAAAGGCAACCAATCAAGAGCAACCACAGTGATACTGAATAATGAATTGTTTCTTATGGAACAGATCAAATACAATCTCAAAGTACACCATCCATTTAAGGCGATCGAAGGGTTTCTTTTGGATATAAAGACTAGAACACGAATGTCCGATCCAGACCGCATGCGTCCTCACATTGATAGTTTCATTGACAAATTATTATTTACAGACGCATGTTTATTATTTGCACCATCTCAGCTGGCACTAGCTGCTGTATTACATTCGGCTAGTCAAATTAAAGAGAATTTGGATTCATATGTTACCGATTTATTATTGGGTGAAAAGGGATCTGAGCATTTAAAAGATTTGATAGAAGTTGTACGAAGAATAAGAATATTGCATGTCAGAACAGCAGATGATCATACAAAAGAGCTATCACGTATTAGTAAAAAATTAGATAAATGTCGGAACCAAGAGAACAATCCATTCAGTGAAAAGTATAAGGATAGAATACAAGAAGCATTAAATAATTCTTTATAGTTTTGATTGTAATACGTTTTTGGCATTATTGTGAATATAAAAATATAATGTAACACTTTTATCATCAATATGATTTAAAATAAATAAATATTTTTTTCCTTTCTTATTAGATAGGTACCTATATTGATCATAAATATAAATTGTATAATACTGAACATTGTTAAAACCTTAATAATAACTGTACGTTTATAATAAGATTATTAAATAATATAACCTATGAAAAATTTTGATTGCATATTTTGTATCAACATATTAAAATACAAGAWTTTATGTTAATATTAACTATTAAATACCTATGCTCTATTTCAAATAATATTACATAAGGCAGTGATCAAAATCTGATAGATTTTTCATTTAATCTATTCTATGGTTACATAAGATGATAACACTATAGTATTACAGTATGAATTAAGATAGATTAAGGAAAATAATAAATAATAGTTTGTTATTTTTTGAACAAACTTTCAGATATACATATAAGTAAGTAGTAAACTGCAGTTAACCCCTAACCGATTAATCCACAGTCAAACTGTTGAACTATTGATGGTATTGGATGACGAAACAAAAATAAATTTCATAACAGTCCAACCAACACTATGTGTTAATATTGACAAAATATTTTGATTACTGTTGGGAGAAAACTAGTTTAGTGATAATTTTACTGATTAACTATTCAAAGCATTTCCCATAAAGATCAAATAAATACAACAATAGAAGAAATAAATACTAGCCTAGTATCAAAATAAAAAGTATTACTATACAAAAAACAAATTACTGGGTAGGGTGTATAATTGACTCTAGTATATAACAGAGACTTAAAATTTTTATCAGTGATAAATTTGATAAAATAAAAATAATTGTTTATAGTAACTGTTTAAATCATTAATTATTTCTTATTAATATAATTAAATTAATAGGTATTGAAATTTAATTTATATATATTTTGTCTGAATAAGTATATAATCATTTTAATATAAAATCCTACCTGTATTGGCTAAAATGCTGTCTTGACCGCTTGATTTGTTTTAAAATAAAAAGGAATTTTTCAGCAGCTTGTTGACAAGCCAGCAATGTACTAATATTGACTCCTAAAAATAAAAAATAAAAAGTATTAAATGTAAATGAATGAATAATTTTTTTTAATTTGTCTTATGTGTACCTATTAAATCATTAATTATATAATCTGGTAAGAATTCAAAGTCTTCAAAAAAGGCTTCACTAACAATATTCTCTAAGTCTACTTCATGTTCTTCAGACATTACAAAATCTTCATCAACAACTGAATACAATTGAACCAGAATACATAATAACATTTCTACAGTCAATTTTCTGTCTTTCCTTGTTTTAAACAATTGACTAACCTTGTTAAAAATAAATATGAACACAAAATTATATTAAATACTTACACATTAAATTATTAATAATTCATCAACTATTATTAACTCACTTGTGTTAAGATGCCAGTATCACTTTCCATTGAAATATTTTGTAATAATAACTTGCCAATATTTTGAGCAAGTTCTATTGTAGAGAGATTTTGAGATTTTAAAGCAGCACAAATACAAAGCACTTGCTAAAATATTATATTATTTTCAAGTTAGTGAAATAAATAATTCACTAGATTTGGTATAAATAATATTTACTAAAATGAGAATTCAATTTTTTTTTTAAATTTGAAACCACTTGTATAATAACATATGGACAGATTTTAAATTCAAAAATCAGAAATGACATCATACAATCAAAAAGCTGTTTTATAACCCAAAATTGATAAACATTTATAAATGTTTTGAATATAATTTCGGGTTACATTTTAATTTTATATTATTTTTCAATTATATTTACTTGTTTTAAGTCTATAAACTCTTTACTATTAAACTTTTCATCATCTAAAAGAGTTTCTAAGAGCTGAGGTGTGATCCTTGATATAGTTTTTTTAATAGGCCCAGAACATTTTTCAGTTAACATAGTTCTTATGCTAGCCAATACATTCTTTTCAGTTTTTGTTAATAACCATTCAACTATAGGTGTAGGTTTTAGTGTTGGAGCTAAACACATCGGTACTTGTAACTGATCATCAATCGACTTGTACCTTAAAAATAAATAATTATATTTATCTAAGATAATGTTTCTTAATTATTTATAATAAACTTGAAACTTCATTACAAAGATTTTTACTTCAATTAAATTCTACACTTTCTAACACCTATCACTTTATTTTATACATAATAATAATAATAATAATTTAAAATTTAAACTGACAAAGTAATATCAGATTGTGTTAGCACATTTATCCATCCAATCCAATTAAAAACACTAAATGACATAAGTACCTATAACATGTTTAAAACGTATTCAACTTACTTTAAGTCTTTTAACATAGGTTCAGTAACAACTGCTATATCAGAACATGTTTTGGGAAATCTAGTCAGTAACATATTCATTTTGTCTAATGGACAGCTAGATGCAAAATCAGTAACGGCATACATATCAACTATTCGATCAATAAGAATAACATTTAGGCGGCTAGACTCTGTACTTATAGTCTAAAATCAAGATATAAAAATAAAATAAAAATATATAGGAACGTTTAATAATCATAGTATATACTTTTTGAATTTTAGAAAAATGATAAGTTACAGCTTCACTTAATGGTCCAACAGCATAAAGGTCATGTTTTACATTCAAATGATTAAATATATTATTTAAAGTTGCTGCAATTTTTGAAACATACACTTCGTAGTTATTCTACAAAATAAATACATTAATTTCAATAAGATATTTTTTCATAATATCATAAAAGTATTTATAAAAAATATAACACAATTGTTATAAGTAGAAGTGCTACATKACCCAACTAGTGAGTAAATCAAATTTTTTAGTCACACAAATAAAGCGCATTTGCACCACTACAGTAACAAACCACAACACACCTCTATCAACAAAGGAATGTCTTGAAGATGGGGCACTAGAAATAATGTAGGAGACAAGCAAGTCAATGATATTGGTATATCCATAACATCCACTGTACCATCCTTAAACACAATATAATAATAGCAAAAGTAAATAAAAATGATATTAATCGCATTATTAAACAAGTATATTATGGAGATTCTAAATTCTAAAACAATCAATTCTAGCAAATAATTAAATATAAATCCATAAATACAAATGGGCAACGCTACCTCGTACTTGGCTGAGATAATTTTGCAAAGTTCATTCTCCAACTTTTCAACACTATATGATTCAAATCCACATCCAACAACAAAACGACAATATCTAAAATTACTGTTATTCAAAACATCTCGGACGATCATCACAGCCAGTTCGTCGACAGGTTTTCCAATAACCAATAAACACCTGCGGTCCTTCGGATTGCCACTCTGCACACATGAAATAAAACAGTAAACAAAAATGTCATGGGTAAATCTCTTGGAACACCAACTTACCTCAAATGATGACAGCTCCTTGACACTTTTGGCACCAGCTCGATACAGAAGCACACATCCACCGTGCCAATGCAGTGACTCTGAAGCATAATCGTCTAAGAACACTGTYGCCTCACGAGCGTACTTGCACACTTCATTCCAAGACCAGTCGGCCATCACAGAAAATGGAGTGTCCACGTTGAAAGTCATGGGGTCTACTCACGATTCAACAAATCTTGTAAACAGGAAAGACAAACCGGATATGTACCTAATGTTTTAGGCAATATATTGTGTCAGACATAACACATAAGTGAGAAATTTTGATTGAGATATGCACAACGATTACTTAGTTATTACTAAACTCAATGATGCCACAATCCAAGTGTTACCCGCCAGATGTTTCTGTTTGGCTATTATTCAGTAGTGAGTTACCATTACAATATTTTATTGCTTTTTGTATAAAAATTAGTTTATTACATATTAATAATTATATATTATACTAGTATTTACAATCATAGAAAATTGGACATTAGTACATTACTATAAAAAAAAATAATTGCCAATTGGTAAACATTACATATTTTTAAAATGTTATCGTATTATCAATATTAAACGTCATGAATTTTGGGATTATGGCCATAGACCTTGTGTCGTTCTTATCCATCTCATATTATCAATATTATCAAAGTTACAACAATGTTGTTGTTCTTGGTTACGATTTACGATGTAGAAAAATCTTCTCTACATCGTGGCCGTCATAAATGTGTGTTTGTCGTGTGTAAAACACTATAAACAAATATATCTAAAAAATATTAAAAAGTAAGTGTAAAATATAAACTTTAGGGTACTGCTTTTAAAATTTTCCATCAATTCTTTAAAATTTGAAAGTTATATATAACCTTAATCGCAGTGGGGGCTTACTGGCTTAGCTCCCCCCAATATATTAGTGTCCCAAAAACTATTAAAAACTCAATGTGTAAATAGTCAGGGCTTAACTCCCCCCCCCACCCACCAAATTGAAGCAATTTGCGCCCATGGTTATACCTTATACCTAAAATATTTAATAATTTAAAGATAAAATAATATTTACTATTATTATTATTATTAAACTTTTATACTAATCTACAGCTTAGTGCAGTAGGTACCTCCTTAATTAGGCGTAGTCTACAAAAATGTCCGAAATTAAGAATGTTTGGGGTGAAAATGTTTGAAACCAAGAATTTCCATATAGTACAGTAAGTTCTTGTCTAAAATCAAAAAAATGTAGTACCGAAATAATTAAAAATAAAAATATCCTGTAAGGCTGTAACATTTGTAAGTTATCCTTATCGAACACGGCAAAACACCTTGTATATTGTGAAGTATTTACGGGAACTGGGGTCTGTGAGCTTGTGAATGCCTTTAGTACCTAGGTATACTCCATCATAGATATTTTTACCTAATTTATAAATTCCAATTGACAATTGACATTGTGTTATGGTTATAAAATAAAATAAAGTAGTAAAACACAATATAATCAATGTCATATATATATTTTTAGTTAGGTACCTAATTCGTATAATAATCTATTTAATTCGTACGTTTATGAATATATTTTTTTAAATTCCAAACAACCTTGCCAAATAGTTTGTCAAGAGTGGAATCTTTAATTTTGGTCAATTTTCCGATATTTTTATTTAGATTCATTAAGAGGATGTCAGCGCACTATTTGTTTTCTCTCTCTGGCGCACCCGCAAACATTGACAAAACACATTTACGCAGAATCGTTTTT